TCAGTGCCAATTTCGCCGGCGGGGTGGACATCAATTACAGGATGAAGGGTCCTTTCAACATAAGACGACTCCAAGCTAAAACAAAAGTGTCGGCAGCTTCCATTACTGAACTTCAGTATGCAAACGACCTCACTTTTGTTGCTCACACTGAACCCGACCGACAGGAGATCCTGAACACCTATGCAGATGTGTATGTACATTTTGGCCTTGAGGTGACTGTACTTAAGACTCAGATTCTCTTTCAACCTGCCCCTGGTTCAGACACACCTCCACCATCCATCCATCTTAACAGTACTACCCTCTCTAATGTTACCCAATTTCTGTATCTCGGCTCCCACCTTTTCACCAACGCGGACATCGTTGAAGAGATTCAGCATCGGTTCAGATGTGCATTTAAAGCCTTTGGCAGACTCCGAAACCATGTCTTCAGCTGTAAGGAGCTGAAATTATCGAGAAAGTTACACGTATATCGAGCAGTGGTCCTCCCCACCCTGCTATATGGCAGCGAGACATGGGCAAAATACAGGAGGCACCTCAAGGCACTTGAAAACATTCACCAACCTAGTTTACATTCCATCCTCCGAATTCGCTGGGAAGATAAAAGAACAAATTTCAGTAATCTTGTTGATCCCAACTGTAGGAGCATCGAGGCTACCATTATCCATGAACAACTACGCTGGACTGGCCATATTACCCGCATGGACGACAGTAGACTGCCAAAGCAGCTAATTTACAGTCACCTAACGAACAGTAAACGTAATGCCAGCGGGCAACTGAAAAGGTATAAGGACAGTCTTAAGACAAATCTGACCCCCTCACCTGGGAGACGATTACTCCTCAACGTAACGCTTGAAGGAACACCACACGAGAAGGAGTTAATACTTTCGAGTTAACCCGACTCCAAACTGAGGCAGACAAGCGCCAACGCCGGAAAGACGCTGCCACCGCCCCTACCACACTCATTGTCGCCCTCCATATTTGCAACATCTGTGAGCCACTCTTCCGGTCCCGTATCGGCCCCTAGTCACCTCAAAACTCACCAATAAAGGTGACATCCCTAATAACTCATTTCATTGTATCATAGCTGGATGATCGTCATACTGGATCCGAGTGACAGCAAAGTAGTAATGA